TTTGGACATGTTGTCTGGAGGATCAGGAAAGGAGTGGAAGCCCCTCAACAAGACAGATTGACAAACCTTGGGCTTGAGCATATCAGAGAAGGATGGTGCAAGATAAGGCAGAGTTCAGATCTGTTAAATGGGCCACTGTGAGTTATAGGAGCTTCAAGGGCAACTCAAACAAAAAGAGAATGAAAGTAGAGTGTACACCCAGAGTAGGTAATCTTTCTGGACAGTGGGGAAGTAATGAGTAATTCCTCACACCCTGAGATCTGGTAAGAATGCAGAGGAAGTAGAAATTTTCATGAGCTTTTTCTCACCTTCTGAGATTTCATCAACTGTTTATTTGGAAGCAGATGCAAGAAATCATGGGGCATTCACCACCCACAGATATTAGTACAGTAAGCTTTTAAGAGCTTTATTACAAGGCTCTGGGGTGGATGTGAAAAAAGTCTACCTTTAAAGTAGACTCTGTCGTAAGAAGACATTGTTATTGGTATGACCATTCAGGAAATTTAAAAAGTATAGAAACAAGTCATGAGAACTCCCAGAAGGGCATATATTCCCAGCAGTGAAATTGCTAGGTCAAATGGTATTTCTATTATCAAATTTGTGAGAAAACACCATACTGACTTCTATAGTGGTTGCACCATTTTATACTGCTTTCAAGAGTGAATAAGGATTCCACTTTCTCCACAACATTGCCAGCATTTGTTGTTTGCTGTTCTTTTGAATTTTCTATTGTCACTGAGGTGAGATGAGGTCTCCTTGTTGTTTTGATTTGCATCTTAGAGCAAGGGATTTTGAACATTTCTTCATGTGTTTGCTTGCCATCTGAATGTCTTCTTTGGTGAAGTATCTCTTGATATCATGTGCCCACTTTGTGATCGTGCTGTTTACCTTTATCTTATTGTAGTGGACTCTGGACTTCTGACCCCCTAAATTGTCTTAGAATAAAATTTCTGTATGCTACTACCAGTCACTGTTGATACAAGCAGGCAAGAGATTAGAAAAATCTGTTGAGAAACCTCTCCTAGGGTTGGAAGAGTAATGGTGGAATTTTTAAATCTAGGAGCATCTGATTCAGGCCATAGTCTTTTCAACTACTTGCTATTTAACATGAAAGCTGTACAATAAATAAAGACGACAGAAGATTTAATGCCTTAGATCACAGTGCTGGAACAGAATAGTGAGTGTTCCAGGGACTGCTAAAGACAGGTTAAGTCTTGAAGGAATTTTAACCAGATGTTCCTCACAAAGGAGAAAGAAAAGGCTGGTTCATTAACCAGGGCAACAAGAAGGAGCAACAGATAATACACGGAATATTACATTGAGCCTTGTATCCAACATTTTTCATCCTCTCTTCTCATATTCACTCAATGCCACCAAGTCAGAACTGACTCCCGGGTGACCTCGCAAGTGGGTTTTAAATCGCACGGATGGGTAGATGATCTATTATTTTTTCACAAGGAAAGCAGCAGTATGATTTAATGTGTTAATGCATCTGGAAGTATTTTCTTCATGAATTTTTTAATTTTATTTCATTATTTTTTGTGTGTGTGTACCATCAAATCAGATCTGACAGGTACAGGAGGAGATTGTTCCTCCTTCTCCAGCAGAGCATCTGGTGGAAGAATTTATTATTTTGTGTGTGTGTACCATCAAATCAGATCTGACTGATACAGGAAGAGATTGCCTCTCCTTCTCCAGTAGAGCATCTAGTGGATTCAAACTGCATACCTCTGGGATTGCAGTGCAGCTTCTTGCCACTAGGCCACCAGAGCTCCATGCATTTCTTATGTATAGCAAAGTGGGGGTGTTTACTGTACCGATTCTGCCCCCCATATAAATTCTCCCAAGAGAAATAGTGGAGTGAATGACATCAGAAAGTGACTGTGAGTGCATTTAACTCTTAAATGTCGTGACTGTCAATTTCAACAGAGACTCAGGAAAAGAACTCGTGTCTAATCTGGGGACTGCCTGTACAGTCATCAAGGTCTAAATAAATAAAATAATATGAAAACGTGGTACACAGTCAAAAGAAAAAAAATGGAACTGAAAATTCTCATTTACTAAATAATGAAAAAAATTAGAATCACTGGAAAGAAATACTGACGGCTACTAAAATTAGTGAACGAAAGTATAAAGAAAAATTAAGACTAGTTCTTGCCTCAACGTACTAGAAATAAGACTAGTTCTTGCCTCAATGTACTATCCTGTGAGAACTCAGCCATCATATAGGGTAAAACTGTAATAGTACAACAGGAGAAAGAAACACGTCCAATACGGAAAAGCGAAACAGTTTAAATACAAGATGAGTAAATTTAATCATGTGGAAAATAGGATTGATATATGCGAAAAAAATTGAAAACACATATTCAAGGTTCACAGCATCCTAATTTCAAAAAGCCAGGAACTAAAATTTCACAGAGCTTGGACAGACCCTCATAAACAGAGCCACACAAAAATGACATCTTTGTTTTCTCAAAGGCACAAGTTGGGTCTCACAGAGCCCATCCTTAAATTTGCTTTCTTATTCAATGACATGTCATTGAAAACAGACATAATGGAATTTTAACATTTACTATTCTACTAGTAACCATAAAAAAAAATATATCCACTTCTGACTGTGAACCATGTCTGGTTTTTTAGTTCTTATGTGTCCTGTAGCCTGACTAAAAGTGTTCCCTCACTCCTTATACTCACAAGTACTCTCTACGGTACATTCTTCAGAATGGGGAGGCACGTGGAACACCTAAAGGTTTTCTCACATTTATTACATTTGTAAGGCTTCACTCTACCACAGGTGAGACGACACTGGAAGGCTTCCCACAATCTTTGCACTCATAAAGCCTCTTTCCACCTTGAGTTCTCAGAATAAAGTCCATGGAAAGACTCAAAACATTCTTTTCTTCCTCCTATTTAAAAGATATCTTCTTCCGTCAGTTTTTAGAAGTATAGCAAAGTGTGTGGACTTAAACGCATATCCTCATTCCTTACAGACAAGAAGGACTGTCTCTGTTGGGATTCTCGATGTGTGGTGAGATGGGAAGAACGTGTACAGGCTTTCTTAACATTCGTAATACTTTTCCCTGAGAATTCTCTCAAGTGTGGTACGGTGTGAAAAACACCTGAGGACTTTACCAAAAGCCTTACAATCCTAAGGCATGTTTCCACTGTGAATTCTAGTGTGTCAGGTTACGCATAATGACTGACTAAAAATTGCACTCTGTCTGTACAATCTTAAGGAAGCTCAGTTTTCAGATTTTATAATATGTGGTGAGGTGTGTAGCCTGACAGTACATTTCCTTCAAGGTGGGTTGTTCTTTGTGTGATGAAGGGTGAGGAATACCTAAAGACTTTCTCACTTTCTTAAGGCTTTTGTGAATTCTCGTTTGGTGAGATATGAACCCATCTGAAAGCCTTCCCATAATCCATTCTTTCAGAAAGATTCACTATACTGAGTTCATCTGTGTGTGGTCAGGTGAGAGGAACACCTACATACTTTCCCACACGGCTTCCATTCATAGGACCCCTTTGCACTGTGAATGTTCTCATGTGGGGCCAAGCTGACACAACACCCAAGGCTTCTCACATTCCTTACACGCTTAAGGGTTCTCTCCACCAAAAGTTCTCCATGTAAAGTGAGGCATGTTGTGGGACTGAAAAGTATTCCCTGATTGCTAGTATTCAGGGTGGTCTTCTCTGTGTGACAAACACATGAAGACCTCTCCTCCTTTCCTCTCACAAAGACTCTCCATGCTGTGTTCTTCCATGTGTTTTGAGGTGTGAGGAAAACGTGAAGAACTTACCTCCTTTCTAACACAAGGATGCCCCATGGGGAGGTGGTCTATGTGTGGTGAAGTGTGAGAACACATGCAGACCTCTCATTATTCCTAACCTCCGCAGGATTCCCCATCGTGAGATCAGCTAAGTGTGGTGATGTGGGACAACATTTAAAGTCTGTTTCTCATACCCAACATAAGGATTATCCAGGGTGCGGTCCTCTGCTATGTGTGGTGAAGTATGAGGAAGCTATGAAGACCATTCCTCATCCCTTATACTCAAAGATTTCCCATGGATTGTTTTTCTATGCATGGTGAGGTGTGAGGAACACGTGAAGACCCTCTTTGTCATTCCTTAACTGCATAAGGATCCCCCTTGCTGAGGTCTGCTATGCCTGATGAGGTGTTAGGAACACCTGAAGACTTTCCCACATTCCAGATACTTACAAAGCCTCTCTAGATACTTACAAAGCCTCTCTATTCCAGCAGTTCCTCAGCATAAAGCGCTGCGTGTGACCTGAATGAAATGCATTTTCTCATTCTTTATATTTACAAGGACTTTCCACAGTGTGGTGTTCTTCTATACGTAATGAGGTGTGCGTTAACACGCGGAATTTTCTCCAGCATCACATTCCCACTCTTCAGTGTGTGTTCTTCCGTGTGATGAGGTGTGAGGAAGACCTAATCGTTTTCTCCCATTTCTTACATCCGTTACGGCTTTTCTTCGCTGTGAATTCTCTTATGTCTGTTGAGTTGTAAGGACCACCTGAAGGTGTTCCCACACTCCTTACATTGATAAGGCCTCTCTCCACTGTGTGTGCGCGAATGGGACCTGAGGGACGGAGAGGAACTAAAGGCCTTCCCACATTCCTGACACCCGTAAGGTCTCTCTCCACTGTGAATCCGTGTGTGGGTCTTGAGGTACGAAGAGCAGCTGAAGGCCTTCCCACATTCCTTACATACGTAAAGCTTTTCCCGACCGTGGATTCTGTTATGTACGTAGAGGCTGGAGGAATCGCCGAAGGCCTTCCCGCATGCGTTACATTCATAAGGCTTTTCTCCAGTGTGGATTCTCTTGTGTATGCTGAATTGGGAGGAATACATGAAGGTTTTCCCACACTCATTACACTCATACGGCCTCTCTCCACTGTGTGTACGCGTGTGGGCCTTGAGGGTCCAAGAACAGCTGAAGGCTTTCCCACATTCCTTGCATTCGTAAGGCTTTTCGCCAGTATGAATTCTCTGATGTATGTTGAGGTGGGAGGACGAGCTGAAGCCCTTCCCACATTCTTTGCATTCATAAGGCTTTTCTCCACTATGAATTCTCTGATGGATGGTGAAATGGGAGGAATAGATGAAGGTCTTCCCACATTCCTTGCACTCATACGGCCTCTCTCCACTGTGAGTGCGCGCGTGGGTCTTGAGGGAGGAAGAGCAGGTAAAGGCCTTGCCGCATTCATTACATTCATAAGGCTTCTTTTCTCCACTATAAATTCTCCTATGAACGTTGAGGTAGGAGGAATGGCTGAACCCTTTGCCACACTCCTTACATTTATAGGGTTTCTCTCCACTGTGGGGTCTTTTATGTTTCTCAAGGGTAGAAGAATAGAAAAAAGCTTCCCCACACAGCTTGTCTTCATGAGGCTGGTCTGGGGTAGGAGTTTGTTTACACAACACGATGGATGACAGCTGATTAGAAGTCTGACCACATCCTTCACCTTCATGCTTAGAATTCCTCACCGGTGTCTTCTGGTGACATCGGCATTTCTCACCAGTGAGCGTAACCACAGTGTCCTTCACGTCAGAGAGAGATGCCAAGGCTTTGTGGCAAGCTTTGCATTCATGGGCTCGCTTGACACTGACTGTTCTTTTGGCCGTGAGGACGGAAGAACAACAGTGTGCTTCTCCTTGTTCCTTCCGTTCCCATCCTTTGTGAGATGCAGTTCGATGTGCTGTGGGATCCATGACAGCTCTTCCACACTCAAAACCATCAAGCGCTTTTATTTCTAGGGAATTGTCGGACACCACAGGAAGATGTGGAGTGTGGCTGCAAACTTTTCCGCTCTGATGGTCTTCATTGGTTCCACAGAGCTTGTTTACTGTGTGATTTCTGTAGAAAACAGGCAATATAACATGAGAAATAAATCTGTTCACACTTCATCCCTACCAAACAGAATGAGCATGTGTGGTGTACCCTTAACTTGTCCGAGTGGTTCAATCATCAGGCAGAAATATTACCCACAATGTCATGGGCTATATTCCTGGTAAATGTGTCCAAATATCTAATGACGTGCATACATGATACCAAAGCTAAACAGAGATATAGATAGATAGAATACAAATATGTGTATGTGTGTGTTTAACAGCACATATCAAGGCTTTGAACTGGATTGCAATGGTGCAGCAACTGACCCAAAAAAGCAAAAAGTGCAGGGTACACATTACATAGCTACCAAATCTTTTGTTTCATGTATAAGGAATAAGGGAAAAGAAGTACGTATCTTTTTTTTCTCACAGCTTACAAAACGATGTTAGAGCATAAATAACCTTTGTTCTCTCCCCACCGGGAGGGTATTAATGGGAACGTCTCTGTCCTTGTACTTACTCTGTGAACAGTCTTCTGTGTGCTAACACTTCCTGAATACAGACCTTCGCAATGTCTTGAAATGCTGTTCTCTAAATAAAAAAGTCGTTTAATTTATCTAATCAGGCCAGGACAAAACAGTGTGGCGAAAACGTTATAGCCTGTTAAGGTGCAACACAGCTTTAGCCGTGTGGTACAGATAAATGGTGGAACCATATACCTCTGTGAGTGCCTGATGGCTGAAGTAAAATGAGTTATGCTGAGAAAAGATATCCTCCTTGTTTCGTGTTGACAGTAAAATTCTTTCCAATAGAAAGACCAAGACATTAATGTTTTTGGAGTGCTGGTAGTGACTGTGGCATATAATGTGGTCTGAAAAAAAAAACCCAAAACACTTCAGTGCTGAAGAAAATGAGGCCAGACTGCGAAAAGAAGCTTCCTGAGAAAGGAAGCTGGTGAGATTTCTGTCGCTCCGACTTTGAACATGTTGTTAGCACATGAGCCCCAAGAGAAGGACGTCATGTTTAGAAAAGCAGAGGGTCAGTGAAAAAAGAAAAACACTCCTAACGGAACGGAAGTCAATTAGCATTATGAGCAGTTATCATAACAGGCTAATGTCTGCATAGCAGGTATTGACAGGATGGCCGTGTCTTGAATTGTTGGACACAGTTTAAGGATGCATCTAAAGCCAACTGGACAGAAACAAGTACCAAGAGGACACACATACTGATGGCCTGTGGTTTTCAATGTGGTGGTGCTCTCTATAGTCTTGTAAGTAATCCCACCTCCCACACGGATCCCAAGCGTTCCAAGCTCCTGACGTGGGAGACCGGACTTAGACCTACATATTCGGAGAAATATGCGTGGCCAGCCTCTCAGAACCATCAAACAGTGGGTGAATCCTTCAGAGTCAAGAGCTTACAGGCAACCGCTTTGCGTCTTTGGCAATGCAGACAGTGCCTTCCTTTCCAGGAGCAATGGATAAACTATTCTGAGCCAGTGTGAAGCCCTGGTAAATGTACACAAACAGGCACACGCACACAACAGCCCTTAGAACCTTCTTTTCAGGCAGGGTTTCTTGCTTGGATTCTACTCACCTTGAAGGTGTCTCCTGATGTTCATGCCGATTTGAACGGCTTGGACTTTCAAATAGGTCCCCTAACATGGAGGACCAGGAGGGATTCTTGAGGAAATGGACCATCAAACGTTCCTTGGACAACTTCTCTCCTTTGCGCGGGATCTGGGAGACTGAGTCAATAAGCCAAGTTGAGTTTCAGAAGACGAGACAACAATGGAACAAGACATTATGAAGATGGGCAGAGGAAGAGGCTGTTTCTAAGGAAGAAACCCTTCATCCCATCTCTGGTTTCAACACCTGTTGTTTGCAAAAAAAGTGAAAAAGCCGTTTTCTGGGAAAGAACGTTCTGAGGATTGAGAACCATGGTGACCCCCAAGGGTCATTAAGAGAGCCAATCTCAAAAGACCACAGACCCAGGACACAGTAATATAAAAAGGGAGAAAGAATTTCCATGAAAGTAGGTGTGAGATGTTTACTAATATGGCCTCAGTCAGTGCAGGGAACTCAACGTGTTTTCTATTCCCAGAAGCATTTTTTGTTTTAATTGAGCAATGGATTCAAATTCAGTGTCCTCCAAGAAGTGTGTCCTTCAGACCACTCCTCTTTTCCTGTAACTAATACTGTAAACTCTGTCCTCAGTCCCAAACCATGCATCCATATCCCAAACAGAACCCCACAGGGACTATGCCCCTGAGATTCAACAGGACAGAGCTCAAGGATTTTAATCACAAGAGAAATGGTTCCTCCCTTTAATGCACAGAACTTGATGTTTATCAGAACACAAGGTATGTGAAATCCAAAGACCTAGGGGCCTGGCATCTGTTGTTTCACAAGCTGTTCCCACTTCTCAGCTGAAACATTGCCGTCAAGTTTACAAATAAGGGTTTCTCGATGAAGGAGTGAAATGCAGATTAAAACTGGTACGATGAAACAGGGCCCATATCATTCTTTCTTCTAAACTATTGATCCCTTGCTTGGTTTAGGTATAGATTTTGGAAGAGCACCATAAAATGTAATAGGACTCCCATTCTTCTCAATGTTAGTCATCATTTGTTACAATCCATGGAGTCAAATGCCTTTGAATAGTCCATAAAGCACAAATAGGCATCCTTTTGGTATTTTTTGTTTTCACCCAGGATCCATCTGCCATCGGCATACTTTGGTCAAGTTGCTAAGAAAGGCTATTCCTTGGAGAAGGGTTTCATGACTGGGAAAGTGCAGAGACAGCCAAGGAAAAGAATCTCAACGAGGTGGACTGACACAGTGACTGCAGTCATGGAGCGTGTCTGAGATTGTGAGACAGGCGAAAAGACAGGCAAAGGTTCAGAAGTTTCAAACCTGATATCACTGTAAGTTATACAGCAATGACAGGGAAATGCAAAAAAAAAAAAAATAACACAATGCACTCTTACCTAAAGATGCCAAGTTTCTGAAGGTTTCCATCATCACGTCTCTGTAGAATTTCTGCTGGGCGACGTCCAGCATGGCCCACTCTTCCTGACTAAAGACCACAGCCACGTCCTCAATGGCGGCCAGCAACTCCTACAACACCCCACACCATCTACCGTCAGCGAGGGACCATGGACTCCAAAACTCTGTAGTGATTGCTCAGAGTGAAAACATAAGCCGATGGGTGTACAATGTGAGCGTAACACACTCCATGCCCAAAGTTATCTATGTAAAAACTGTGGAAATGGAAAAGGTCTTGCGATGTATGAGGAAAGGGAGTTCTGGTGGCCTCGTGGAAAGAAGCTGAAGTTACAATATTGAAGGCATGTGGTTCAAAACTCACAACTCCTACACAAAAGGATAAGTAATCTTTTCCTGTGCAATGTCCTGCCTCTGAAATTCTGGTGGATCTGCTGTTTATCAGTTCTTAACTCGAAGGAACACATCAACAACATATACAAGGATGGTGAATTATAGACAGTTGATCAGAAGACAGCTCAATTTCCTGTGAAGCCAAGGAAACAGACTCAGGAACTTTGACCCTTTCAAGTGTCAGCCCCAAATTCCCACAATTTGCAGACCTCAGAGAGCAAGTGACTCTTAACAACCTGATCCCCAAATAAGGGACTTGTCAGGTCAATGCAAGTGACCCCTATAAAACATCATCCATCCACTAGTTTCCACAAATAATGAAGGGGGAAAGGTTTTTAGCATCTGGTCGGTAGAGAGTTGCAGTTTTAGATGAAGAAGATTTATCTGGTTAGGAATGTGGGGACCGACCTCTGCTATCTCTCATCATGTGCTATGTACGATACTCTTTTTTTAAAAAAAATTTTTTATTTTATTATATTCTGTGTGTACTGTCAAATCTGATCTGACTGGTACAGGAGGAGATTGCCCGTCCTTCTCCAGCAGAGCAGTTGGTGGATTTGAACTGTGTGCCTCTGGGATTGCAGTGCAGCTTTTTGCCACTAGGCCACCAGAGCTCCCCTTGTACGATACTCTTACAATCAACTCTTGAGCTGGAGATGAAATAAAAAAGTCACTTCCATCACCTTGAGCAAGATTCTGCATTTTAAAGCCATCAAAACCCTACTTGTGGGAAGTCAAATTTCATACTAAATACTTATATTAAACCAAACGCTCTATCAGGATACTAGGGAGGTATGGATACAAGCTAGCATTCACCCTCCACTAAGACAGACCTGGGCTATTCACAGTGATAAGAGCTTAGTCAGACCTTTGCATTTTACACAATTCTTGGAGTGTTTTTGCTAACTCCATCCTTCCTGAGTCAAGCATAAGGTTTTCAATAGAAAAAAAAAAAGCTTAGCTTCATTTGCACAGAATTGTCTTTGTGATTTGCTCTCTGGCGATTTTCAATAAGGGCACAGGGATACTGGGTTTGGTGCTTCAGTTGTTCGAACTGTTTGCCACCTGCTTTCCTTCTCTGTTTCCTTCTATGTTCTAGGTGTTCTTTCTCATTTTTTTTTTATTCTTTAAAGTTGGTCGAAAACATTCTGGCACCCAAACAGGGATGAGGTGGTGGTCTCTCTCTGTCTCTTGACTCTCTCTCTTGCTCAACAGAGAATCGAAAGGGAAATTAGCTCAGGCTAAGTAAGTCTTTCAGAAAAAAATAAAGGCAGGGTCATGAAGAAATCCTGAAACCCTGAATTCTGTTAGAAATTTAGGGGCAGAAGTAGAAAAGATTTTGTGAGCTTTTTCTGCACCTCTTGAAGGAAGAAATTTAGGAGGAAAAGTAGCAAAAATTTCATGGGGACTTTCTCCACCCTCTGAAGGAAACAGATAAAAAACTCAGAAGTCTAACTGAAAAAAGGAGCCATGGGGAACAGCCCATGAACTGAAAGTCAGTATATTACGTTACTTAAAGAATTACTTAAAGCACGCTCTGGTGGCCTAGCGGCAAAAAGCTGTGCCGCAATTCCAGAGGTGAGCTGTTCAAATCCACCAGATGCTCTGCTGGAGAAAGAGGGACAATCTCCTCCTGTACCAGTCAGATCTGATTTGATGGTACACACACAAAAAAAATTAAAAAAAAAAATTACTTAAAAGCTCAGGGGTAAAAGTAAGAGAAAGGTAATTTCTGCAGTTGTTTCAGTACATGCAGAAACACGGTTATTGGTTTTAATCAGCAAAAAAAGTGCAGTTAAATTTTAAAAACTTGGCAAAATGTTACACAAGCTTTATGAAAAGCACATCAAAAAAGAGAACAGACTCCTATGAATTTTTGGATGAATCTTTGGATGAATCTGAATTAAGTAATATTACATTAAAAGAGGTTAAATCTGAAGGCAAGAAACAATCTTTGTCACCTTTACAAAGAGCTTATAAAAAGAAAGATGTGTAGGCCTTTGTGTTGACCATTTACTTTTTCTTTTTTGACCATTTACTTTTGGAAACTAGTGAATGTGGTGTCAAAAAAAGCATAAATTAAACCCTTTGCACCCACTTTCCACCCTTGAATTTGGTTTCATTTGGTATAGGAGATGCACAAGTTTACAGTTTATGGAGGGGGAATTCATATGTATACAAGGAGATAGTTTATTTCTAAAAACTAGAGGACAGGCTCAAAGTAGGGAACTTAGCATTGTTAAAAAAGAACGCTTTTAATTTTTCAAAATAAAAATATCACGTTAGGTGTTTTAATAAATAATTTATAAATTGAAGGTGTACTGCAATCCCAGAGGTGCACGGTTCAAATCCACCAGATGCTCTGCTGGAGGAGGAACAATCTCCTCCTGTACCAGTCAGATCTGATTTGACGGTACACAC